GTCGGTTTTTTGTACTTAACTCGAGCTGTAGGACAGCTACAGAGCTGATGCTTACAGAAACCCTCTTAGAATCAGCAGGCGTGTTTGTCTGTTGCATCCAGAGGTCTGAACTCGGTATTCGTATTATTCGAGTCATCTTGACAGGTGCTGTCGGTTTTCTGTACTTAACTCGAGCTGTAGGACAGCTACAGAGCTGATACTTACAGAAACCCATTCAAAATCATCATGCGCGTTGATCTGTTGCATCTAGAGGTCTGAACTCGGTCTGCTACTCGAGCTAGGTCCGCGAACTTATTCGTATTATTCGAGTCATCTTGACAGGTGCTGTCGGTTTTCTGGACTTAAATCGAGCTGTAGGACAGCTGCAGAGCTGATGCTCACAGAAACCCATTCAAAATCATCAGGCGCGTTGATCTGTGCATCTAGAGGTCTGAACTCGGTCTGCTACTCGAGCTAGGTCCGCGAAGCTGTTCGTATTATTCGAGTCATCTTGACAGATGCTGTCGGTCTTCTGTACTTAACTCGAAATGTAGGAGAGCTACAGAGCTGGTGCGCACATCAATCGATTCAGCATCATCAGGCGCGTTCGTCTGTCGCATCTAGAGCTCCGAACTCAGTCTTGTACCCGAGTTAGGTTCGCACAACTATGTGTATTTGCTATATATATATATATGTATGTTACACATATATATATATAAATGATGGTAAATTTCTTCACTGAACTCGAGCTGCAGATGATTTCGAGAGTTCGTCCGCACATGAATCAGAAGAAGATCATGAGGCGCGCTAGTCGAAGTCTCTAGACGCTTGGCTTGGGTCTGTTATGAGCGCAACCGCCAAATAAATAGTCATGCTCTTTCATTTTTCTTTTGATGGAATTCGTTTCCTGGGCTGGACTCGAGGTGCAGGCTGGAGAGCTCTGAGGCGTTGGAATGGGAAGATAATCGTCATGCGCGCTATTCGAAAGTATCTAGACACCCGCGCTCAGTCTGCTATTAGCGCTAGGGCTGAACACCGATTCGTACTCTGCTACTTCTTGGAAATGATATTGTTTTTCTTTGTTTTACTTTTGCTGCAGATGAGCTACAGAGGTGTTCAGCACAGCAATGGGAAGGGAATCGTAAGGGGCAATAGTGAAATATATCTAGAAGCCTGAGATCAGTCTGCTAGCGCTGAGGCTGAAAAACTAGTCGTTCTCTGCCAATTCTTTGGACATAATATATGGCAAGGAAGCTCTACGAGTCTCCCGGCGGTAAGAAAGGTTGACGGTTTACCGCCGGCGCCCATTACCTCAAAACATTTGGGGCAACCGACTTTGGGAAAACAATTGAAAAACGCAATTTTCTAGTTTCTGAACTCATCCCTGAGAAGACTTATTCCAGGTGTTTGCAGCGTCGCGAGAAAGAGCTCTACGAGGCTCCCGGCGGTAACCTGGTTGACGAGGGCTGCCAGTGGAGATCCAGGGAGATAACATGGCCACGATTAAGTGGATAAACGGGGAGTGGAATATCCACAACCGAACATATGCCAGACACATTGCCGAAATACAAAATGAGTTTCACGAGTTGCATGAGGAGTTTAACGTTGTCGGAGCCACGGTCGGAGGAGACATAGGGAAGCATGTCTATCGGGAGGGAAATCTGAGGGCTGATGAATTAACTCACATTGCACGCATCAGAGATATAGAGTATGATAGGACTCACGAGCTACAGGAGTATGACCTCTACGCCCTGCGGGGCGCTTTCGACGGTGGAGTCGATAAGGATAAAGCAGGAGCAGGTTGGTGGCTGGAGGGATTGATCAAAGCATCGGCATCTCATTCAATATATGGGAGCTTCGCCTTTCTGGATAGACCACAGTGGGTGCTGATCAAATCGAAGGCGTTTGGCCTTCCCCCTCAATATTCTGCCATGAACACTGAATTCGAAGCTTTATCGAGCCTCTGCGAGGCCATCTTTAGTGTAACCCGTAACTTCGCCCGTAGGGTTAGGCTGAAGAAACGAACTGTGGCTGCTTTTGGCAGCCGTTAGACAGATCGCAAAAGGCAAAAAAACCTGGTTGACGGTTTACCGCCGGATCCCAGGTTTCCCTCGGCCCCTTTCGCGGATTTTTGTGGGGATGTCTCAGGCGGTTTGGCCGTTTTGTCTTCCAACATGCATCGCTTTCGGAGCAGTTTGCGAGGGTGTCTCAGGCGATTCGCTGGTTTGAGCACTCCTAAGGGGCGCGGCGGGGGGCATTTCCCTCGGCCCCTTTCGCGAGATTTTGCATGGACGTCTGAGGCGGTTTTGCTTTCTTCTCATCCAGCATGTTTCGCTTTCGGAGCAGATTTGGGGGTTGTCTCAGGCGATTCGCTGGTTTCAGCGCTCCTGAGGGGAGCGGCGGGGGGGCATGTCCTTCGGCCCCCTTCGCGGGATTTTGTGGGGATGTCTCAGGCGGTTTGGCCATTTTTTCTCTTCCAAAATGTCGCTCTCGGGGCAGATTTGGAGGGCGTTCGCGCCCAGTTTGCGGGGTGTCTCAGGCAGTTTGGCCGTTATGATGCTGGGCATCTGTCGTTTTCGGAGCAGTTGTGGAGGATGTCGATTTGCTGGTTTCAGCACTCCCAAGGCGGGGGGGGGGGGAGGAGGAGGGGGAGGAAGACAAGCTAGGTGCGCTCGCGTGATATCTGACGTCCTACCCCTCCCTCCCATCCCTTACCATGGCGCTGATTTTCTCTATCCGCGGACGCGTGTCGTAGCGGGTTTGTGGCTCCGCGCGCGCGTGCGTAGTGGGTGGTGGTGCACGTGCGTGCGTGCGTGCGTGTGTGCGTTGTTGTCGTGGTGGTGGTGGTGGTGGTGGTGGTGGTGGTGGTGATGGTGGTGGTGGTGGTGCTGGTGGTGGTGGTGGTGGTGGTGTTGGTGCTGGTGCTGGTGCTGGTGCTGGTTGTGGTTGTGGTGGTGGTGGTGGTGGTGGTGGTGGTGGTGGCGGTGCGGCGCGGTGGTGGCGGGCGGATGGGCGCGCGAGAAAAAGGCCCGCGCTGGGGCGAGAACGCCATCCTGAACGACGGAGGCCAAACACCGATCCGAAAATGAGGCCCACGCTGCAGCGGGAGCACGATTCGGAACGATTCGGGAGCAGAAATGAGGCCGGCGCCTCAATGAGAGCAGCATTTTGGGAAAAAATGACGCCGGCGCCTCAGCGAGAGTCGTTTCCCGGGATTTCCCGGGCATCCTGCGTGTAAAAAAACAGTACGCGGAGGGTGCGCGGCCATCGCCCGGACGCCATCAGGGGAAGAGGGAGAGTATTTTCATATTGAGTAATTGGAGGAGGAGGAGGAGGAGGAGGAGGAGGAGGAGGAGGAGGAGGAGGAAGAGAAGGAGGAAGCGAGGAGCAGGAGGAAGAGGACGAGGAGGAGGAGGAGGAGGAGGAGGAGGAGAAGGAGGACAGCATGGACACAGTAGGAGCAGAAGCAGGAAGGGGAGGATGGTGACGATGATGATGATGCTGAAGAGGAGGAGTACGTGGTCAACTCGAGCAGCCAGGGCCAGACGATCGAGGTTCAATGCTCCAAAGCTTTAGGTTTTATTCAAACGCTTCCGCCTCACTCTCCTTCGCTCCCCGCTCTCCTTCACTCTTCTGCATTCATGCTCACTCATGCTCGTGCTCAGTCACGCGCAGGCTCGCTCGCACTTAGACTCGCTCATATCCATGTTTAATCTTACTCGCGCTCAGACTCGCGCCAGAACCAGATGCGCAGACTCGCTCCTGCTCAGACTCACTATCCTTCGGTCCGCTCAAACGCAGGCCGACTCACACTCAGACTGGCTCACATCCATGCCCAATCACACTCGGCTCACTCGCATTCAGATTCATAGCACACACTTTTTTTCACATTCAGACCCACTCAAGCCCAGACTGACTCATGCTCAGACCCATCATGCTACGATCCGCTCAATCACAGACTGGCTCACACTCAGATTCGTCCATACTCAGACCCACTCGCGCACAGACGCACTCGCGCTCATATCTACTCACACGCATGTCCACTCAAACCCAGCACCCAGATTAACTCACACTCAGAATCAGTCGCTCTCAGACTTGCTATTGGCCGCACTCATGCTTGCAGACTGTGGGAATGTCTCGAGCGAGCGGTTCGCCCTCGCACACAGGCGCTCATTGACAGATATCAAGAGAGACGTATCGAGAGAATGAGATTCACATATGGGGGGCCCCGCGTCGATTAATTTTTATGAGAGACGGTGTTGGACTTCTGCATTTAATGTATTGGCAAATTACGGGGCTGAAAAAAACAGACCGCTGAACCGGAAATTATCAGGCAATCGCCGATAGCATCGAAACGCCAGATATTGGTTTGCTTCCAGAGCTACAACTAAGCACCCTGCAATATTTGGTGAGAGATAATATGTGTTTTCTGTGCTCAATTGGAGCTGTAGGATGTTCCTACTCCTCCTCCCCCTCTTTCTTCCTCCTCCTTCTGCTGCTCCTACCCCTCCTCGTTCTCCTCCTCCTCTTCCTCCTTCTCCTCTTCCTCCTTCGCCTCCTCCTCCTCCACCCGCTTCCCCTCTCCTCCGCGTCCTCTTTTTCCTTCTTATTCTTCCTCCTCTCCCTTCCTTTTTCTCCCCCTGTTCCTCCTCCTCTTTCTCCTCCTTCTTCTCCTCTTCCTCTTCCTCCTCCTCTTCCATCTGCTCCTTCTTATTTTTCCTTCTCCTCCTTTTCTTCGTCCTCCTCCTCATCCCTTTCTTGATGATCATCTTCGTCGTCGCCCTCCTTCTCCCCCTCCCCCCTCCCCCCTCCTGCTCGTCCTCCTCTTCTCCTCCACCTCCTTCCCCTCCTCCTGCTCCTTCTCCTCCTCCTCCTTCTCTTCTTCAGCCTCCTGCATCTCCTTCTCCTCCTCGCTCCTTCTGCTCCTCCGCGTCTTCCTCCATGGTGCCGCGCCGTCGCGCGCGCGGGGTGCGAGATTGCCGCGCCCGCGTCCCATTCGCGTGTATCACAAGGAAGCTCTACGAGTTCCCGGCGGTATCCAAGGTTGGGAGTCCCGTGGCCCCCCTCGGGGTTGCAGGGGCCTCTCCCGCCTTGGGGGCCGTCGGGGCTCGTCTCGAGCCGCATTGCGCGGTCAGGCTTTTGTGCATGCACCTGTATCGTACTGGTCTGCGCGGTGAGGAGCCGTGACGCTCCAGGGCATATGTTGTACCGAACTGGCTCAAATTTTTGTGTGTCCCTTCTTGTGCGGCACCCGTTTGCAGTTCTGTTCTGCCTTGTACTTCTTATCCTTTTCGCGTATTCCTGCACTATGTCCACCTTGTACTTGCATGATTTGCTGTTGCATCCCACTTGTGTACTCCCGTAAGCCAGGAAGCGTTTTCTTCGTAGACACCGGTTGGTTGCGTTTCGGCAGAATGATCTCGACCTCGTCTTCGAACTGTCACGTTTGGCTGGCTCCTTGTCGCACTTCTCAGATGTGGCCCATGCCGGAGTTTGCGCCTCCTCCGCCTCCCAGGCCTGAGCTTTCCGTCAGCACGAAAGTGGCCGCTGTTTATAGTCCCAGCCAGGATGCTTGTCAGGTTGACTTGGGCGCTGCACAACATGTTGCGGTCAAGCTTGATCAGGCTCAGGATGCAGGGGGCCCTGCAACTCATGTGGCTGGGAGTGTTTCGCATCGCGTCGCAGGGGGGTCTTCAAACCAGTCTTCAAATCCAGTTACAGGGAGGTCTTCGGCAGGTCTTCAGAGCGGACTTCGAATCCCGTTGCTGGGAAGTCTTCAGCTTGGCCTTCAAACCAGTCTTCGAATCCAGTTGCTGGGAGTGCCTCGCATCGCGTTCCAGAACATCGTATTGCGTTAACATGTGAACACAGTGCAGTTGCTTCAAGTTTTGCCGCGCCAGTTCAGCGAATCTCGTCGTCGCACGCTTCCGCAGATCGACCGCCATACTCGGAATGCATTTACAGGTGTTTTGACTGCTCATTGTCGTTGCGGACTTTATCATTAATAGGTCGCGTCCAGTTGCTGGGAGTTCTTCAAGTCAATATGCAGACAGTGTTCCGCATCACGCCGCAGGGGGGTCTTCAAACCAGTCTTCGAATCCAGTTGCAGGGGGGTCTTCAGCTCGGCCTTCAAACCGGTCTTCCAATCCAGTTGCTGGGAAGTCTTCGACTCGGCCTTCGAACCAGTCTTCAAATTCAGTGGCTGGGAGTGCCTCGCATCACGTTTCAGAACATTGTACTGCGTCAGCCTTGGAGCATCAACATGTGGTTCCCCATGCTGCAGCTTCGTCAAATCCTGCCGCGCCAGTTCAGCAAGTCTCGTCGTCGCACGCTTCCGCAGATCGACCGAGTCAGACACGCTCTGAGTGTCAAGCTGCCAGGGACTGGGCCCTTGCCAGTGTCGATGCAAGTGCTCTTTGTCGTGAATTGGAGCGGCTCCCGAGACAGGAGTGTCGTCGTAGGCTTGAGGCTATTAATGTATGCGAACTTCAAATGGGAATTGAAAGTTCGGAGGAGGATGATTCGCAACAGGGGGGTCCTCAGAGTTCTACTTCCAGAGGTGCATTGACGCGGAGCGGCAAGAAGCATCGGAAGTGGCAGAGATTATGCACATGTGATTGATCATTCACGCTTGTTTGGTCTGCCCTCTCTCTCTCCCCGCTGTTTCTGCCCCTGGGTTCGCTTTGGCTCTTCGGGTCTCCCGCTCTCCCGCTGGCTTTTCCTTCCGCTCTCCGCTGGCAGGGCTCATGAGAGGTTGGTTGCGTGCATCTGTAACTTGTATGTCGCAGTCACCGCTTTCAGTGGTTACTACTTGTTCTCGCGTCGCTCTCTGTCTGCAACCCTTTGAATCATTATAGTGTACATGCGGTGAGGGGCTCCTTTGATAGAGCTCATTGGCAGGTGTTTCTCATTTGTGCACGCTTCTATGTAGATAGTGCGCGCGTGTCTCATCTGACAGCTTCGCTGCTTTTTATATTTCAGCTTCGCTGCTGCCTGTGTAGCTTCGCTGTTAGGTATTTTTCTCCGTGTCCTGGCCTGCTCCTGTGGGAGCTCGAGCCGGCCTGCGCAGAACGGCAGAACCAAGGTTGATGGCCCACCGCCCGCTCCCAGTTCGCCCTGGCGGGATCGGTCCCATCGCTCATTGTAGCTCCGCCCTAGGCCGGAATCCTTCTAGCTCATTCCGGATAGCTCATTGAAAGATAAGAGGGTTTCAGATCAGTTGCTGGACAGTGGTGGTGCCAGCCGACCGCCCGCCCTCGCCGCTCCAGAACTGGGCGCTGGCGGTGAGCCGTCGACCCTGGTTGCCGCCGGGAGACTCGTATATATATATATATATATATATATATATATATATATATATGTATGTATGTATGTGTATATATATATATATACAAGTGGCACGTGTGAGCCCAGGCTCATACAAAAAACGGAAGGGGCGTTTGAAGCAGGAGTGAAATGCAACATCGAAGTCGCACTCGAGCGCAAGTGGGGTTGCCACACCTTGCGATGTGTGTACCAGGGCCCCCAGGAAGCCTTAGGAGGCCCGACTTGGATACCAGAAGAGGCTCCAGGAGGCCCCAGGATTGTGAGTGTTGTGCGTGTGTGTGTGTGTGTGTGTGTGTGTGTGTGTGTGATGTATGCTTCGTGTGGTGCGTGCTTTTTGTGTGTTGTAGGTGTTGTGTGTGTGTGTGTGTGTGTGTGTGTGTGTGTGTGTGTGTGTGTGTGTGTGTGTAATGTTTGTCTAGCGTGTGATGTGTTGGGCGTGATTTGTGTCTCTGTGTGCATGTAGTTCTGAAGCCCCAGGAGGCCCCAGGAGGCCCCAGGCGGCCTCAGGAGGCCCCAGGAGACCCCAGGAGGCTTCAGGAGGCCCCAAGAGGCTCCAGGAGGCGGCAGGAGGCCCCAGGAGGCCCCAGGAGGTTTCAGGACACCCCCAGGCGGCTCCTAGGCGGGGTCTGGGGTGCCAGAAGGTTCAGAAGGCCCAGGAGGCCCCAGGAGGTTCCAGGAGGCCCCCAGGAGGCTCCGATGCGGGGTCTGGGGTTCGATTTTGGAAGGATTTTTCAAGCAAAACCGCCATTCACTGAGAATCGGGGTCACAATTATTGAAATTACCATGTGTTTTTGAAGGTTTTATGTTAAAATGTTGAATTTCCCATGTGTTTTTCGACCCTGACATCGCGACCTGCGTGGGGGGTGCCACCGATTTTCAGAATTTCGAGGATGTCCCGAGCGAAACGCCCAGCATAATCGCGGGCGCGTGCGCATTAATCGCCTCTGAGCTCTACTCCCTCGGAGAGGTGCGTATGATGCGATATCTCTCTCTCTATATATATATGTATGTATGTATGTATGTATGTATGTATATATATATGTATACATATATATATATATATATATATGACTTGTGGAGCTTCCCTAAGAGTGAAATGGCGAAGCTAGAGAGTATTTCTGGCGCGCTGGCGGGCTAGCTGGCCCGAAGAATACCGACGGATGTTGTGCATGGTTTTAGGTTAAAAATCAATTTCTCGAAATTTGAACATTCGTTAGAGCACTAATATTTCCCCCCCATATTCGATCTTATTCCCGCTTGCCATCTCAACCTCATCTCGATTGGGTAGATACTATTGTAAAAAGCATGTGGGCGGGATCGGCTGTTGAGTGTCATCTTGGCAGGTGCTGTTGGTTTTCTTGACTTAACTCGAGCTGCAGATGAGTTACAGAGCTGTTCGGCATAGCAGTCAGAAGGGAACCATCAGGAGCGCTAGTCCCAAGTATCTGGATGCCCGAACTCGGTCTACTACCAGAGCTGGAGTAAAAACACTTATCGTACGTTTTTTTTTTTTTTTTTTTTTTTTTTTTTTTTTTTTTTTTTTTTTTTTTTTCCCCCCCCCCCCTTTTTTCAGAAGTGCGGATGATTCTCTTCATTTAAACCGCGGCATTGCAATCGACATTTAAGTAAGAGGACCGCTATGTTCATGCACCTAGATGCCTGAACTCGGTCTACTACTAGAGCTGGAACCAAAAGAGCTGGAACCCAAAACCATGATGATAGTTTTCTCGGCTTCATTCGAGCTGTAGGCTGGCTATGGAGCTGCCGAGCACTTTTCGCAGCAATCTGCAGGGAATGCTGCGGAGCATCAGGCCATCGGTTTGCTATCAGAACTGGAACCAACTAATTATTTGCATTCTTTCATTCTTCCGAGAGGCGGCGTTTGATTTCTGCATTTAAATCACAGGCAAGCTAGGGAGCTGGAAAACAGACCGCTGAACAGGAAAGCATCAGACAGTCGGCTATAGTATCGAGACGTTTGAGATTGGCTTGCCACCATAGCCACAACTGATCACTCTGCAATCTTTTTTCCTGTACCGAATTCAGTATGCAGGCTGCTGCTCCCCCCCCTCCCCCTCTTCTTTCCATCTCCTCCTCCTTCTCCTCCTCCAACCCTTGCTCGTTCTTCTCCTCCTCCTCCTCCTTCGGCTCCTCCCCCTCCTCCTCCCACTTCCCCTCTTCCTCCTCCTTCTCCTTCTCCTTCTTCTTCCTCCTCTCCCTTCCTCCTCTTCCCCCTGCTCCTCCTCCTCCTCCTCCTTTTCTTCCTTCTCCATCAGCTCCTTCTCCTCTTTCTCCTGCTCCTTCTCCTTCTCCTCCCCCTCCTTCTCTTCCTCCTCCCCCCCCTCATCCGCCTCCTCGTCATCATCATCCCCCTTCTTCCCTTCCACCCTTCCCCTTCCTGCTCGTCATCTTCCTCTTCCTCCTTCTCCCCCTCCTTCTCCTGCTGCTCCTTCTCCTCCTCCTCCGTCTCTTCCTCGGCCTCCTCCACCTCCTTCTCTTCCTCGCTCCTTCTTTTCCTCCGCGTCCTCTTCCATGAAACCGCGCCCTCGCGCGCGCGGAATGCGAGATTGCCGCGCCCGCGCGCCAGTCATGTATATCGCATGGAAGCTCTACGAGTTCCCGGCGGTAACCAAGGTCAGGCGAACATCCGCGCGGCGAACGTAGGACGGGACATGTATCGACATGAGTACAGGGAAGATAACACCAGGGCCGACGAGCTCACCCACCTGGCCCGAGAGGGCCGCGCTTTCTACTCCAATCGGGTTGCATGCAGTCCGATTAAGTCACCATATCTTATACGCGTCGCCTATCGTGGGGCATGCGATGGGGGAGTGGACGGCAACGGTTGCGGATGTGGTTTTTGGCTGCAGAAAAGGCTTCTTGGATTACAGTCAGTGGGGTCCGACCTACCGCACCACTCCTTCTCCATTCGGCTCTCGTCAGATAGCCCGCAGGAGGGCCCCAGGGAGTGAGCCGCGCGATGCCCTCGTTTGGAGGGACATCGCCTCCAGTGCCTTTTTTTTTACCACCGCACTCCACGATCACAGATTGTGAACTGGCTGCCGCCGAGGCGCTCACACGCGCCCTCCGCTTAGACCTGCTAGGCTCGCTAGGCGCCCTGTCGGGCGGCGCTGCGGACAGCGCCCTGGAGCCCGCGCAAACCCAAAAACCAAGGTCAGTAATGAAGGATGTGGAGGCGGGTGGTGGCTTCAGATTGGCGTAGTAGGTAGTGGTTCCAGCGTGCAGGTTGATTTTCCCATCTCCTCCTCCTCCTCCTCCTCCTCTTCCTCCTGCATCAGCTCGCAGAGCCTCCATTGGCACGATGTGGCCGAGGAGGCGATGAGCTTGCCTCCAGGTAGCACGGTAACCTGCTGTGAACTAGCTGCCTGCGCTGCCCTGACGAGAGCTGCTGCTAAGGTGGCGTGCGCTCTGCTGCGACCTACCTAAGAAGGTGGGGGCTCAGTTGCACTGGTCCGCCGATTCGGGTTCGGATTCTAGTGGCGGACCGCAAACCGCAAAACAAACAAAGGTTGACGGTTTACCGCCGGCTCCCAGTGTATATATATATGTATATATATATATATATATATATATATATATATATATATATATATATATGTTTGGTAGCCCCCCCCCCCACATGATCATGCATATTCGTCTTTGCCGCGGCCGCCGATCGATATCTTCTTTCTCCGTTCCCTTCTCCTGTCTCTTCCTTTCTCTCCTCCTCCTCCTCCTCTTCCTCCTCCTCCTCCTCCTCCTCCCCGTGCTTTTCCTTCTCGGAATCATCGAAATCGTCAGAAACTAAAGAAAACCTGCAAAAAACTTGCAAAACACAAAAAAACAACAAAACAACAAAAAAACACCAACATAACCAAACACACTATGATTTCGGGGGAACTTCTGGGGAGGGGGCCGGTTAAAGTTCTCGATAAATCATAGTTTTTTTTTGTTTTCTGAAGGGTTTTCGCTGGCGTTCGGCCTCCACAGAAGGATTCCTATTGAAATCCTCTGCGAAAGGAGATTCCCATTGAGATCCTCTGCGGCTCCTCACCCTCCTCCTTCTGCAACTCACCCTCCTAATCATGCTCGCTTCGAGGCGATGCTCACAAATCTAGTTGCGAACGCAGCTTCACAACTAGTTTTGCGAGGAACCTCCCGCTACAAGACACTACTCGGAAAACTGATTGTGAACGGCGCTCCACAACTCTTTTTGTGAGTGATGAGTTCCTCCTCGTCATCGTCATGCTGCTCACTCTCCTCTACTTCCTTCTCCTGCTCCTCCTGCTCCTCGTCATTCTGCCCCCTCGTCTCCGCTTCGAGGCGACGCGCGCAAATCTAGTTGTGAGCGCAGCTTCGCAACTAATTCTGCGAGGAACCTCCCGCTACGAGACGCAACTCGCAAAACTAATTGTGAACGACGCTCCACAACTAGTTTTGTGAGTAATGAGTTCCGCCTCGTCGTCGTCATGCTGCTCGCCCTCCTCTTCTTCCTTCTCCTGCTCCTCCTGCTCCTCTGCCCTCCTGCTCCTCCTAGTTGTGCAGCTGCGTTCGCAACTATATTTGTGAGCATCGCCTAAAAGCGGAGAGAAGGGGGCGCAATGACGAGGGGCAGGAGGAGGAGCAGGAGGAGGAAGAAGAAGAGGGTGATGAGCATGACGATGACGAGGAGGAACTCATTACTCACAGAACTAGTTGTGGAACGCCGTTGACAACTAGTTTTGCGAGTCGTGTCTTGTAGCTGGAGGTTCCTCGCACAACTAGTTGTGCAGCTGAGTTCACAACTAGAGCTGTGAGTATCGCCTCGAAGCGGAGAGGAGGGGGCACAATGA